TAACTTCAAGAAGAAAGGGTTTCGTATAGAGATCGACACAAACAATAAAGGCAGAGCGCGCTCACCGCCTCGAAGGAAACCGGACCCCGAAAGCTAATCGGGCAGGCATTCGGCTTGGCACTGGGGCGCAACCTTAGGCGCTGCTTGCCGAGGAAATGGCATTGGTGGGAGTTAAAACTTGGAGCGCTCATTCTGTTGGTCCGACAACTCTTTCTGCCCTTGCCTAACGCCGGAGAGCCGAAAGTTGAACTCCTCCTGGAGTTCCTCCCTCTAGCGGAAAGACGTTGCGCGCAAAGCCGGTCTCAACGCGAGCGCAGTTGGAAAGCTTACAACACAGCCCGCTGCTTTTGACTGCTCTCACCTTCAATCCTATGGAAGCTTACGTACCACACCAAGGAGAAGGCTGCGCTCAGGCAGACACACTTCAGGGCGCCTCTCAGCCTGAGCCTCATCTCCCGGCCACCCTGGAAATTCCGCGGCTGCCCCGCGCAACAATGGCACGTCGCCGCTTCTTTGTTGCCTCTTGGCTGTGGCGGATCCGAGATGCTGCTAGAATGATTCTCGACACAGCTAGGGCACCGTCCCCCCCCCCGAGATTCCCCCCAGGGCGGCTTCTTATTGGATATCCCGCCTCTCAGATCGCGCAGGTGTGTTGCCTGGGATCACATTTCGCACAGCTCGTATCCCGGGTTTTGCAACTGCGGGACCCACAGTCTAAGTTGCTGCGCGAGCAACCAGTTACTCCCGTGCAGCTCTTTCGTTCCTTTGGGAATTGGATCACAGGCGCCAGCCAAGTGTTACCTATAGGATTCTGGAGTAATCCCAAAGAGTCTGTGGAAGTCGAATCAGAGAGGAGTTCCCCATAATATGTCAAGTTGTTACCCCTCTTGCTATCTTACCTTTAGAGAAAATATTTAACTAGTAATCATGGTGAGCAAATATGCAAAGAGGATATCAATTCTAAAAAAAAATATTTTTCTTTTTTCCTATGATTTTTGGACATTTATAAATATATGTCAACATATGAATACACTATGTTAGGGATCATATGACTAAGGAATGGGAGACATGGAATGTAGAAGTTGCAGCATCTGAAACCACTGCCCAACTACTTTTTTCATAGGAATGCATGGGGCAGGGTGGATTTCTTGCTGGAATGTTTTTCTCTGCAGGCTTGATCCGGCTCATTTTTTAATATGATATTTGCTTTTGCTTCCCTGAACATGAAATGCCCTGTTGTTCAGTGTTTGGATAGGCATTTGAATTGTAAGCCACCCAGAGTCCCTGACTGAGATGGGTGGCTATGAAAATTGAATAAATATAAATAAATAAATGATATTAATGGACAGATAGATAGCATTTTGAGGTAGATGTCTTTCCCTCATTCTGTAGGCAGGAATAAAAAACAACTCTTACAATTAAATGTGCACGGAAGGTTTAAGTCTTCTATGTTCACTTAAGCAAAATTAAATAATTTCATAGTAATTCTGCAATCTGAACCTAATTGAAGATTTTTAGCATTTTAGCATACCATTTTATAAAAATTATAGGCATTAACAGCGGTATATGTTTAGTTCACGTACAAATGATACAGAAATTAAAAAGTTCATGTGAAATCTACCAATTTCCAGTGGAACTTGTCAAGTACAGTATCAGAAGAGTTAAAGGCCTACATTTCCTACTTCAAATTTGGTTTCCAAAGATCAAGGCTTATTGTTGCAACATGCATTTTTAAACTGCTAATCATTACAATAATGGAACTTGATGTTTTCCTGTTGAGCCAGATGTATTTGACTGACCAAAAACACCAATACAGAGGATTGTAAGAGTTTTTGTTTTTAAATTTAAATATCTGATTTTCACAGAATTTTATGTTATGGTATTTGTATTTATAATTTCTAAGTCATTTCTAATAATTTCATATTTTTATGTTTCTACAGTCATGTAAAAATGTTTATGTTTCTACAGTCATATCCACAGATATGGAGCAGTATCAAGATGCATATATGTTCTTCCCATGTAATGTTGGCATTATAGTTTCCAACAGAGTAGTTTAATAGAAATGTGAGTGTTATGTAATTTGGATTCAAACTAAAATGTTTTATGTAAATTATGATTTTTAGCACAGGAGCTTTTATGCTATACATTAATATCCTTAACATGTTTTGGAATTATCTTCCTGTATTAACAATTTACAACAACAGTTTTACTATCCCTCTTAATAGTCATTATCAATCATACATGATTATTTGTTTATGGTACCCATGAGTGTACTAGAGTGTGTAATGAGTGTGCTTTTATGGCAACATAAATTGCGTTTCCTATAGAACTTGTGCGGCAATTTCTAGAATAAGAAACCTGTAAGTAAGTAGAGAATGAGAACATAAATTTAAAGGAATCATATTATTTGATATGTATCTACTTTGGTGTTCATGGCATATATTTTATAATTAAAGACAAAATTATTAGTATATAGTAATCAAACTAATATTTGTGAGGCATTTATATTGTGGAATAGTATTAGAATATATGTATGTATTTCATATGCAGTTAAATCAAATGTATCTTGGATTGTAAATGAAGTATCAAGTAGATAACATGAGTGCAACTATGCTTGTTACAACTTTATACTTTAATCTGTGAAAAGTTTTCAAAAAAATTGTGTTAAAACAATGTCATGAAAATAAAATAAAATATATATTAAAATTTCAAATAGTGGCTTGTTAATCTTAACTACTAATTTATTAAAACAAATGTAATAATCTTAATAATGTAGTGAATTACTTTTATCAAAATTTATTATTGTTACAAACAGTGCCTAAGAATGACAGCTGTTTAAAGTTGAACAATGGGTGTATAAATACCAGAATTCTACTACAAAATATTTTAAATATTAAAAATAGAAAAGTGATTTTTTAAAAAATAATATATGGTCAAGAAGAAATTTGAAAAAGCTCAAGGCATCACATAACTCTGAGCATGTGCTTTGAGAACTGGAGACAGGTCAGCTGAGAAAAAAGTTTTACTCCAAGGATTTCTAACTTTTGATCTGATCAATTTCAAAACCTATATGTGTAACATAGAAATTAGTAAGGCTTTGCTGAATTTACCAAATAATCTGAACATAAACATTGGCCTAGCTCACAGTAAGCCTTTAATTAAATTTTGCCAGAGCCATTAGACCTTTTTCACAAATTTTCTCACAAAACTAGAAAGACTGGGAAAAGGAAGTACTCTTATTGTACTGACATCTGGAGAAAATAAAAATCAGGTTTTCCCATAGGATTATTTATGCATAGCAACGGTAGTGGTAGTTCTACTTAATCCCATAGTACTGTGCTGTGAAATTCCTCAACCATTTAAACAATTATATGAAGCCAATGAGTAAAGTCATGTTATCTGTCAAAGATGGCATTATCAAAATACTGATGATACCCAGCTGTTTTTCCTCATCATCTGAAGCAGAAGATATCAATAATGTAAGGCTTTGCTGGGAGGCATATTTTTTATCTAATCAATTACCTATCTATTGGCGGAGTAATTTATGAAAAAAGAAATACATATTCCTATCATTTCATCTGGTATTTTCTCTTATCAGATTTTGCTGTTTCAATAGCTATGATTATTCAATAAGAATAGATTGGCTATAATTCATAGTTTGGTAACCTCCAGGCTGGCTCTGGGCCTCCATGGTCATTTGTTCTGCGGCTGCAGAAGACATAGGATACTTTGCTTAAGAATGTCCGAGACAGAGACAGGAATAGCAAAACCAACCTTATATAAATTGAATGCAGGTATATTTATGTTAAGCATAAATAAACCTAGCTAATTTCTGTGATCCTGAGCACTAAGTAGACTCAAAACTAACGTACCATATGCAGACAGATGGAAGAAAAGGGAATGTACTATATTTAATCACTGCACTTCTGGAAATTCACTAACTTTTTTTTTAATTCCATTTTTTTAAAAAAAAACTTCATAGTTTCCATAACCCAACAGAAGAGATATGGCACTCTTAGCAAGCAGTTTCCTGATTTGGGGTTGGCTTTGGGGTAGGGGAAGGAAATTGACTCTGCACAAATGCAATGACCTTTTGCCATCCCCTGAGAAGTCACAAATTCTTGCCCTAAAACTACCAGACATTATTGTGGGGGCTTCAGCACTGTTAACTACATCACCTAGGTATGTAAAAGGTAGAGAAGGAAGGCAAGTACTTTTGATTTCAGGTTGTAGTTCCCTCCATCTCAAGGGACAACTTTGGTCTTCTGAAGCAACTTCTGAAGCATTCTGTCCTGTTGGTTCTTCTCCCGTTCCAAGTTTTATTCGACTATAGGAATCTTCAATTTGATAAAGTACTACAGTATTATGATATATTAATCTTAACTACAGACTGTTGTTCATTTATGTCAATAAGATACGATAGCGGTTCTCAAACATTTTGTTCTCAGTATCCTTTTACAATCTTAAATATGACAGAGGACACAAAAAGTTTTGGTTTATGTGGGTTATATCTATCCACATATATTGCATTAGAAATGTTAAAATACTTATTTGACTTTGTGGACCCTTGAAAGATTTTTGCGGATCTCCAAGGTTCTCTAGTCCACACTTGGGGAACCATGAGATACCAGAGCGGAGGATGAACAGCTGAAACATGATTGATACTTTTACATACATGGAATACTTCTCCACCTCCAATTCTGGACTAAATAACAGAGTAGGAAGGGACCTTGGAGGTCTTCTAGTCCAACCCCCTGCTCAGGGAGGAAACCCGTTTCAGACAAATGGTTGTCCAATCTCTTCTTAAAAACTTCCAGTGTTGGAGCATTCACAACTTTTGGAGGCAAGTTGTTCCGCTGATTAATTGTTCTAACTTTCAGGATTTTTTTCTTAGTTCTAGGTTGCTTCTTTCCTTGATTAGTTTCCATCCATTGGCTTCTTGTCCTGCCTTCAGGTGCTTTGGAGAATAGCTTGACTTCCTCTTCTTTGTGGCAGCCCCTGAGATATTGGAGCACTGCTATCATGTCACCCTAGTCCTTCTTTTCATTAAAGACTGAGACCTGCTTCCTCTTCCTCCTCCTGAAATTTCGCAACTACAATATCTCATGCCGTGATTGGAGATGCCGCGCTACAAAAGGACGCTTTATGACGACCGAGGGATCCCCGTCGTCGCTAAGTGATTCATTGGGGCGTCACCAGCTTTCCTTCCAGAAGACGGAACCGACCTCCTCCAGGAGCATTAACACGCCCAGACGCCGCGGTCTCTCAGCTGTAGTGGCAACGGTTGCCTTGTAATGGCGGCGGCGGCGGCAGTTACCAGCCTCTTCTCGCTGCTGGACCTGATCCGATAGCTTGAAAGCCCCGCCCAGCGCAAAAGGGGAGATTCGCATTCGCCTGTTTGGACTTGGCGGGCTTTCTGTGGTCTCCATGGAGGCCGACGCGCCAGTTCGAGTCATTTCAAGGGAGGTGGGAATGGAAGAAAAGAAAAACAAAAGGGAGGGGAATTGTACGCCTAGTTCCAAAATGACAGGAGTGGATAAATGCCGTTACCTCCTACCCGGCCCCATCTCACTTCCGGGTCTGTGGCAGGGCAACTTCCTTTTAGGATAAGAAGGAAGGGCTGGTGAAGGTGAAGCGAGGCTGTGGCCAGTTTTGATGGGTTTCTCTGGAATGATGTAACCAGCCTGGTAACGGTTAAAGGAGGGCGGGCACCCGAGCGATGGTGGGGTGGGGAATAAGGGAATTTGCTCGGGGAGCGGGACGGTGGAGAAAATCCTCATATGGACTCGGTTCTGTGCAGCTAGCTGCCAAATGAAAAATGATCCGTTATCAGCGTCTGCAATAAGGCACATTATGAAGGCGGAGGGGGGAGAAAACGTGTATTTTTTTCAGTACTAAAGCATTGTTTATTGAGGCCGCTACTGCAATATTTGGCTTTGTATATTGAGGTACTAGCTCAAACCAGATTAGAAAACATTGGTATCTGGCTCCAAAATAAAAAATAAAAAATTACCAGAGAGCAGATTATTGAAATCTTGGCAATGCAAGTAACTTGCATTTTTAAAATACCATTCTGCTGTTTTGTTAAACTTTATGGTTTGTAGAGAGGATTAGCATCCAGAATAAATGCTTAGGTAGGCGGATGCTTTGTGGAGAAAATTAGTTAACAGAAGAGTATGAAATCAAACCAAGAGCTTTACAGGCAATAATATCTGAAATTCTTTACTTTTCAGTAAACTTATGTATGCTGTTTGCTTAATAAATAATAAATTTATTGTAAAATCAGTTGATTAAAAGCTACCCAGTTCAGTCTTTCTTTAAAAATAAGCGATTAGGCTGTGCAAATGCTCTAGTATATAAACAAGTTTTATAATGCTTTTTATGCTACCTTTTCCTCTTTTCTATGTTTTTATAGAAAATGATTATAGACTTATGGAGATATTTCTATACAAATATCTTTCGATTTTGGCTAAAGTGGATCTTAAGACTGGTAACTGGAAAATGTGAATTGCAGCGTATTTGCAACGGCACAAGGAAAAATGCAAAAAGAACACTACGAATAGGTAATAAATATGTTTATACATTATTATGACAATTTTTTTATATTAGCCAATGACAGGCCAAGAGATGATCTGAAATCCCATGTAATTTTCATAACTTTTTGAAAGTCCTTTAGTAGCATTTAAATAATTGGCGAGATTTGTAATAGCAAGCCAAATATCTGGTTATACATGGTACATACATTAAGTATTAGCTTATTTTTACATTGGATCTTTTTTCCATATAGGTTGGTACAGTAATAGTTAGATTATTTATATATTTATTTACATTTCTTATTTCTAAACTGTCCATCTCCCTTAAAGAGGGGCTACACAAATACACACACGCATACACACACACTTATCCCTTTGTGCTATTTTTCCCTTAGACTTTCCCCCCCCTAACTTTTATCTTTTCTTAGTTTTCTGAATTTGGAACTATTATCCCCATTTTTCATTTTGTTTAATTTAAGTTATTTCTTTTTAAGTCCTACCTTCCTGTTTTCATAGGCCTATATTAGTGCTTCCTTCTTGTTTTTTACATCTGATTAGCTCTATTGATGATAGCCTAACGCCCTAACCCATTATCATATCATGCTGAAACTTTCCATATTGTTAACATGGTCATGTACAAAGACTCATGTAATGAGTAAAGGTGGCTCTCACACTATGACAGATGTTGTTACAATTTATTTTGGCATGTTATGCAAATGGTTTAAAAGACATAATAAACAATAAACCTATAGTTTGCTTGTCATACTTCCTGAGTATTCATTAACATGTTTTTTGCTGAGTTATAAAAATATTTGCAAGGCTGTATCAGAATAATGTTCACTAATTTATTCTTTGTAAACATGAAATGTTATTTGGGAGTTTGTGAATAGTTTTAATAAACATAATTAACACTTATCATTGCAGAGTATTCACTGGAATCATCAAAGCATAAGGTAGGATATATTTTGTGTGTATAAAATGGATTTTCCCCTGTTTTTCTTATGAGAACAGGACCATCAAAATTGGTTTTTAACTTGCATTTCAAAATCAGTTTCCAACATACGTAATGTCTAAAATTCTGCTTTAGCAATACAGAACATCCTGTTCCTTCAAAACATTGCATGTTATAATGTTTATTCATTTGAGAAATGTAGTCAGAGGTTTTGCCATGTTATTGCAAAAGGGACCTGCTTGACAGGATCCCAGACTACCTCTCTAAACCAAAGGCTTTTCTGCACTATTATAAAATGTGCCTTTCTAATCTCAAGTCACTTTACTTTCTATACTTGTAAGCAGCGACACACACAATATATTTAAAACAGTTGACTAACCTTGATTATTAGTTCAGAAAAAGAGCACTGTCAAATTCAGTTGTGCTGATTATGAATATGTTAGTTATAAAACTTTCAGGGAGTTCTGCAACTGAAATTAAAAAGCATGCTTGCCAAATCCAGCTTCTTCAATTTGGTTATTTCAAGATTCTCAGCAACATTTTTTCATGAATATCTTCCTTGTTAGTAAAGTTGTGCACTGCATTTTGTTTTGTGTAATTTCATATTTTAAGTTGATAAGTTTTGGGAAAGTCCAAAACCATTTACAGGTAGTCCTTGGCTTACATCCAGTGACCATTCAAAGTTATGGAGGTGCTGAAAAAATGGACATATTGCAAGTTCTTCCAGTTTCAGCCTTTGTAGTATCCCCATGGTCATGTGATTGTTAATCACAATTACAATGTCAGGGGAAACTGCAGGCATGTGATTGCCATTTGTGCCCTGCCGGCTTCCCAGAAGCAAAGTCAATGGCAAACCTGGCAGGGAAGTTCACAAATTGCTCTAGTAATTTTTCTCCCACCCATAGCACCCTCTCCACTCTCATGCAGCCTCTGCTAGCCCTCTCAGGCCCTTCAGGGCCTCTTAAAACTAACATGTGGATTGCAGTATCCTTCCCAGGGCCTCTGCACAGCACCCCTTTACTTCTTATTTGGGATTCCCATCTCTTCCAACTTAATGACCTGTACATCTTGGCAACTAGAATGGCCCAGTATTGCTATTACTACACATTGCAGTCATGTGACATTGCATTTTACAACTACAGATAGTCCTCGACTTACAACAGTTCATTTAGTGACCATTCAAAGTTACAACGGCACTGAACATTTTCACATTTACAACTGTTGTGGCATTCCAATTAGAGAGATGGGGGAAAGGAAAACAAAACTGGGGGTACAGTCAACAAAAGAACTACAGCAGAAAATAATTACCAACTTTGATATAAAAACAAAAAAATAATAATCTTTTGAACTAAATTAGATGATAATGTACAATTTTTTTTGAGATCAAACAAATCTAGTTAAATTTTCTTTTTTCCCCACATTTCATGCAAAAAGGCTAAGTTGTTTCCAAGTAGAGATGACGTTAGACAAAGTTTTTTCTCCCATCAAAGCAAAGTCTCTGAATTAAAATACATATCTGATTCCAATAATTCTTAGCTCTCTTACATGTCCACCAGAGCACCTTTGGATTGGTGCTTAACAATTAAATTGTCAAAGAACTATAAGGATGTGCAAATGTATGTTGGAAATGTAATCAATCAGAAGATGTTTTTTAGGAATGTCTGATGTTTTCATTCCAATTGAAAAACTAAATAGATTATTACTGTTACATTATCTCATCCAAAGAAGCTTACTTGGTAATTTTGACCCAGTCACTCTTTCTTAGCTTAACCTATATCACAAGGTTTTTAGACAAAAAGAGAAAATAAAGAACTAAATACACTGCCTTCAGCTCTTGAAGAAAACATGAGATAGAAGTCAAATAAATGATTCTCAGAATGCGAAGATTTGCTTACCCTTCTACAGTATATCTGTTAAATAAACCAATATTTTTTTCATGGTTATCAAATAATTTCTGAAGTAAGGTAACAATCCTAAATGTAGAATAAACCGTATCGAGTGCTATTTCTGAGCAACTATTTCAATTTAGATTCTGCTGTTTAGGTAGATTTTTTTTTCAATTTATTTGTATTTTATTCAAAAAAAATTAAAATATAAAACACCCCAAAAATTTAAGAAATAAAGAAAAAAAATTTTTAAAAGTGCATTGAAAAAGACTTAACATGTATATTGTATATATATTGTCTCCCCTAGCTGAATGCTGATTAACATATTACAACAATATTAGTTTCCACAGGCCAAAGTATTTTAAACTACTAAACTACTAATTCTATTTGCAAGTTGTCACCTGTCATCTATACATTATATTAATAACGCTAGTTAACAGGAAGAACAATAATAACAGTAAAAGACAAGATTACCAAACAGTCTTTTTTCAAGTGCCAGCCTCCTTCCCTTGTCTGTAAATCTAATACATTGTTGCTCAATGTAGTTAATAAGAGAGTTCCTCAAAGCAGAATAAGAAAAAGTAAAAGAGCAGGGAAGATATTATCTGGATATTTCAACCCAAGATTAAAACAAAGATTAAGAAAGATAAACTTCATTTTTTTTGCAAATTGATGAAATACAAAATCTCTGTAGTGAATGCCCAATAAAAATGTAAATCAAGTAAAAGCACTTTCACTATCCAAGGACATGCTGTGTTTCCTTATGGAGAAGCAAAAATTATTCAAAACCACTACATAAATCAAAAGAAAAAAAAAACAGAGTCCAGCAGGGGTTAAAATAAATCAGCATTCAGCCAACAGTCAACTTTTAAAGATAAAAAGCAAAGTAACACAGAGGATTCAAAAGGTGAAGTTAAAACCCAAGCATGCTTAAGAAAATGAATTGCCCAGTGGCTTTCTAACTGCTCCCAAAGGGAACTGATATCTTCAAGACTCCCCTTCTCAGGAGGATCCACGGCCATCCAACAGCCATCTTGGATTATTCCTAAGTACTCCCATTCAAATATAGGGAGCAGCCATGCCAAAGAATCAGCTTTGGCAGCAAAATCAGCAGATCATCATCAGGAAAAAGAAAAGTTCCTACTGTTCAGCAGCCATCTTGGTAAGGAGTCCGCCTTTAGGTAGATTTTTATACAAGCTGAACAGTTGCTTCAAACTAAAAGATGGCTGTACTATTTAAAAACCTTTTATTTGGAGTGTTTGTTTTATACATAACTTAATTTATGCATATGTAATTGAATTACTTAAAATTCATGATCCTCATAATCTGTGGAAACCTTAACTGATTAATGATGATATTCAGATATTTTCTGAAGCTTTAAATATTACTTATCAATATTATATATTTTTAATTTTAATTTTACTTTAATTTTCTACTTTGTTTCATTTAGTCCTTGCAAAATGCTTTGAACACTACTGAAGATGAAGTGGAAAAATGTGTTGCGTGCATAATAGAAGAAAAGAAGATTAAAGTACAGAAAGATGTAGGGTATGTCTGTTACGGCCTCTGCTACAATCTCAAGAAAAATCTTAATTTAGATTAATCTTAATTTTAATCTTAGATTAAATGTGAAAGAAGTAAGTTCACATTTAAATTTACTATATGATGTGATTAAGCTGGTAAATTTATTAATATTGGCATAAATAGAGAATTAACTGAAATTTCTTTCACTTAAAGTAATAAATTAATTATTCTACTCAGTGGAAGATACTGTCTTGTTAAATTAATGGTAATTATTATGAAACATTGCAGTATAACTGAAGAAGTGAATATGTAGTCTTACATTTCACTGTGCACAATTATTAGGCAAGTTATATTTTGGAGGATTAATTTTCTTATTCAACAACTACAGTGCTCTTGGTCAATCCAAAATGTTAATAAACCTCAAATCTGAATATTTAAGAAAGTAAAAGTGAGGTTTTGGCTTTTTATGACAATATGTGTGCACAATTATTGGGTAACTATTAGTGTACAGAATTATTATGCAACTAAATGAAAAACAAAAATTTGCCCATCTCAGTCATTTATTTGCATCTGTTAAGGTGAGAATAATAAACAAACAACTCAAAATGTACAAATAAACATTTCTAACATTTCAAAAAAAAAAATCAGTGATCAATATAGCCAGTTTCTTGATCTGTTGACGATCAACATTTTGTGCAGCAGCAACCATAACCTCCCAGACCCTGTTCAGAAAGGTGTACTGTTTTCCTTCGCCATAAATTTCCCATTTAAGAAGGGCCCACATGTTCTCAATAGGGTTTGGGTCAGGTGAGGAAGGGGGCCATGTCATTATTCATTCATCTTTGAGGCCTTTACTGGCTAGCCACGCAGTGGAATACTTCAATGCATACAATAGAGCATTGGTCTGCATAAAAATCATGGTCTTCTTGAAAGATGCAGACTTTTTCCTGTACCACTGCTTGAAGAAAATGTCTTCTAAAAACTGGTTTGGGAGTTGATTTTGAGTCCATCTTCAACCTGAAAAAGACCAACTAGCTCATCTTTAATATTACTAGCCCTTACCAGTACCCCACCTCTACCTTGCTGGCGTCTGAGTCGCAGTGGAGCTCTATGCCCGGGGTGTCAAACTGCCAGCCCACGGGCCAGATACGTCACCAGGAAACCGTGCCCACCCCATTGCCGGCAATGGGAAAAAAGCTCCGATACGTTGCACAACATCACGTGACGTCGCGAGTTTGACATGTCTGCTCTATGCCCATTACTGATCCAGCCATGAGCCCAACCATGTGGTCCATCAAGAGTCACTCTCATCTCATCAGTCCATAAAACCTTTGACAAATCTGTCTTCAGATGTTTGTTGGCCCAGTTTTGCCGTTTCAACTTATATGTCTTGTTCAGTGGTGGTCAGGTTTCAGCCTTCCTTATCTTGGCCATGTCTCTGAGCATTGAATACCTTGTACTTCTGGGCACTCCAGGTAAGTTGCAGTTCTGGAATATGACAACACTGGAGGATAATGAGTTCCTGGTAACTTCATGTTGGATTCTTCTCAAATCTTTGGCAGTTAATGTTCATCTTTTTCTCTCAACAGATTTCTTGCGACCCTGTTGACTATTTGCAACAAAACATTTAATGGTTCTGTGATGACGTCCCAGTACCTTAGCAATTTCAAGAGCGCTGCATCCCTCTGAAAGACTTTTTAAATTTTTGATTTTTCAGAGTCAATTAAATCTCTTTTTTTGGCCTGAGGAAAAGAAGCTGCCTAATAATTATGCACACGTTGATATAGGGTGTTGATGATATGGTCAAAATTCTCACTTGACTAATAATTGTGCACACTATTTAGCATTATAATTTGTCAAAACTAGATAGGATATCTTGGTATATCATGGTTTCTGAACAGCCACTTGTTTGTGACTGTTAAATATGACTTCATTATTCCAAATTTTGATCATCCAAGGTATTTGAAAGCAGAGAATACAAGATTAGGTAATGGAATTGGTATAATTTCAGTGGTATAATATATTTTTCTATCCAGTGATTGCTTGATGACTGCTGCTACTTTTTACAAAATTTGCAAGTGTAGATTGAAACTATAGTAGAGATATAACATGTTTGTTGGTGTTGTGTTGTTAGTGTGTTATTTTCCCCCTCACTGCCCCCCTCCAGTGGATAGGTGCACCATAGGTAGGAGCTGTGACCGAAATCAAACTAGACATATGTGCATAAAGAGAGAACAGAAAAATTATGGGGAAGTCTTAACATTTTTTAATACCACACTGTAATTATGTGGAACTTTGACTCAATAATATGGTAGGTCAGAACTGGAATACTCTAATGCCTGGCATAGATCTTAGATTGACAAAACAGGTATTTATAAAATCAAAGTTACATATTTCACTTCTGTCATAGAATATTTGGTTTTGTTAGTACTATTTGTTTTGCAGTTGAACATTATGTCACATTGCATCACATGTTACTTAGAATTCTCTGAATTTTCAATTTATGGTAGGTTTGCTTCAAAGCTACAATCATCTTTACTCCAAATATCAGGCTACAAGAAACTCTGTTTGGCAGTGGAAGATCTCAAAAAACAAGTATATAATTCAGACAATAAAGAACATGAAGAGCAATTAATGGAGGTGAACATTTTAGTACTTCTGTGTTACAAATTTAAATTGCTTAATTATATAACATAAAAATCATAGAATAAAATGAATTTGTTTTACACAAGATTTACTTTAAATCTCAATATTTCTTATTAGTAATGGCAACATGGAAGGAGTTAATAAAGAGGGAGAAGATATATGGATACGGTATATTCTAGAGTCACTAATAACACAGTATCATTTAATGAAATTGATTTACCAACTTGTCTAGAACAGATAAAAAGAAGTACTTAACATAATTATATATTGGAGTGTGTGACCATATAAGGTGATTCTGGTATAAGGATATTTTTAAATAACGAATAATTGAATAGTAGCCAGCTTCCCACAACAAAATTGGTGGAATGGAATGTATGAACGCCCTTGGGGAAACTGGATGAGAAGCTGCCTAGGGAATTATTAGACAAGAAAGAGAGAAGCCTGCAGAGAATGAAACTTACGAAGGACCCAGTCTAATGGATCAAACAATTAAAAGTGAAGGCAGGAAGTTTGTTTCTTCAGACTTGCAAAATTCTGTTACTGTAACTTTACAGTAAAGTAAAACTAGTTCATCTTGTCTGTTTCTTATCTAGTTTACTCGGAATGGAAAACAATGGGAAAGCTGGTAGGAGGTTGCAAGTCTCAGGGGGTTTTGTAACATTTTATAAAACAATTTATTTGTGAACAAAAAAATAGAACTTAGAAGTTTTTCATAGCAGGAACATGCTATGCTATGTCTGATAAAATGTTATCTTTACTACAGATAGTCATCGACTTACCAGTTGGGACTAAGCAATGTGGTCATAAAATGATATCATGTGACCAGATCGCTTAGTAACCACAGTCCTAACAAATCCCATTGCCTTGTTAAACAAATTTCACCAGTTAGCCAAGAGCCACCCCAGTCAAAGCCATTCTCAGCTTAGTCGCTTCCAGTCCTGAGCCTCAGTAAGAAAAAGGACTGTCTCAACTCACCAGTTCCCTCTTCCCCATCTCGGGCGCTTTGGCTACCCTGCACCCTGCTTTGCAGGACAGCAAGCAGCCCCACATCTCTGTAGCTCTGGAGCTGCTTGCCATGTCCCAGAAATCTGCAGCTGCCCCAGTCTAGGCTAGACCCAATTGACCTCACCACCTACACTCTGAGACCTCTGCCATTCTGTTTTGTGCACCAGCTGACAATTGTGGCTGCATTTTTATTCCCACTGCTGACAAGGTGTGTCTGGCCTGGCTGACTGGCCATATGAGCCTGACTTTGCAAAGTGAAAAAGGACAAAAAGAAAAAAAAAAACAGTGTAAAGGGGCCAAGCTGTGCCAAATGCCACCTTTGCACTACACTCCTGGGCTATATGGGACTGGTTTTCTGCTTAAAGGGATCGTACCATGCCAAAGCATCCTTTGTCTCAGCCCTTGGGTGACGTAACAAGTGGTTTTGCCCAGTGTGAAAGTTTTCTCAGCTTCCCCTACATATATGTGCTTCCATGAACACCTTCCTCAGCTCTTTCCCATTCGATGAAACAGTTTCCTGTATTGAAAGAATGGCACGCTGGGCATGCCTTGTCCAGTGGGAGGAATGTGTTACAATGTATCATTGTACAGTCAGCACTAACAAGATTCAATTACTTAGATAGAAAGCTTTTTACATTCCACCCTGCAAGGTTCTAATAAATTGTTAATATTAATTTTTAAAAAGAGAAAAATAAGATAAATTAAAACACAAGAAAACTAGCAAGTACAACACTATTACAAAGTCCTTGTTGTTGGTACCACAAAGCCCATGTTGCGTGTCCCTCAGTTCCCAGTGTTGTCATAAGATGGATAACATATAAATTAGTTAAGTAAATAAATATATGAACCAGGTTTTATGTGAATGAGAAAACGGTATACCAGGGACTCTTGATTTGTAGGTATGGCAGACTTTTATAAGTAGACCTTATGGTAACATTTCTATGATTGGTTGGTGGGTGTGTGTGTACTTAAATGATATGATTTTGCTTATTAAAGTAGACATTGCATCAATTTTGATACAAATTAGAATTACTTAAAATAATCTTAGAAATTAAATTAATAGAAGCATATTTGTGCAGCTCTGGAATTTGTTAATGCCCCATGAAAAACTGAAGGCCAGAATCACAAAGCAGTGGTGTGATATTGGTTTCCAAGGTGATGACCCTAAAACAGACTTCAGAGGAATGGGAATGCTGGGATTAACTAATCTTCTGTAAGTATAAAGTATATAAGTCTACTTTTCCATGATTTAAAGTTAAAGTTTTATATATTACATTGGCTATGTATTTACTGCTATTAATGGAAAATATGTTATTGATTACTTGTTCAAATCAGATATGCTAATTTGTCTTCAAGGAAATGCTAATCTTACTTATTAACTCAGTTTAATATACTATAATAATAATGATAAAGTTGGAAGGGACCTTGGAGGTCATCTAGTCCAACCCCTTGCTCAGGCAGGAAACCCTATAACATTTTGGACAAATGGCTGTCCAGTTTCTTCTTAAAAACTTCCAGTGTTGGCGCATTCACCGCTTCTGGAGGCAGGTTGTTCCACTGGTTAATTGTTCTCACTGTCGGGAAGTTTCTCCTTAGGTTCTAGGTTGCTTCTCTCTTTGGTTAGTTTCCACCCATTGCTTCTTGTCCTGCCTTCAGTCGCTTTGGAAAATAGCTTGACTCCCTCTTCTTTGTGGCAGCCCCTGAGATATTGCAACACTGCTATCATGTCCTCCCTCATCCTTCTCTTCGTTAAACTAGACATACCGTAGCGCACTTAACTCCAGTGCAATGATTTCGAACAATATTTTTATGTCTTTTTCAGATATTTTAGTAAACATTATCCTCATGAAGCTCGTCAAATCCTTGTTCGTTCAAATCATCCAAAACTTGGGTAAGTGGCATCTCAGTTACTTATTTTTTTAAACATGGAGGAAAACCAAGTCTGAATGTAATAATTAGTTTATTTGTCCAGCATTAATTTCAAGGCTCAGAGATACCATCTTTATTAAAAGATGTATATGTGTGTGAGTATTTGTAAAAGTAAGTCACTAAGTTGTACAGTAGAAATTATTTTCTTTGTATATGCTTTAACAAAGGTGTAATGTACATGGCCATATACTCTACTCAGCAACCTGGCCACTGCATTCTGCTCCATCTTGAACTTTCAAACCAAATAAAGGATGGACCCATTTAGGTTGCATTGCAGTATTCTAATATAGGTTATCAGTGCTTGAACCAGAAAAGGAGATACAGGTAGTCCTCAAGTTATGATGATAATCGAGTCTGTAATTACCCATTTTTATGACAGCTTTGCAGTGGTTGCTAAACAAACGCCATGGTCATCAAGCGAACACCGTGATTGTTAAGTGAATGCCATAGTTGTTAAGGGAAAGCCCACAGGATAATTAAGCAAACTTGTTTTCCTCAATGGACATTTTTTTCTGGAAACTGAAAGTAGCAAAACTGGCAAAAAAAAAACAACCCTCCACTGAAGGTTATGCTCACATGACCATGGAACTGTGCAAACAGTGATAAATCCAAACTGGTTGCCAAGTGTCTGAAATGCAATTAGGTGACTATGGGTAGGAGAATGCAGCTGTCCAAATTTCAAAAATTCCTGGTAATTAGCTAGGGTGGGGGTCCGACATAACTTCAAATGGTACTAAGCAGCCAGTCATTAAGCAAGGACTATTTCTAATTGATAGATTGACCAAAGTTAGCAATAGGAAGCCCTAGCAAGGATGACTCTAGGAATACCCCCAGATAATATACAAGTGATTGAGAAGGTTTCATTCTATTAAGAAGGCAACATTTATTCATTTGTTTGTTTATTGCAGATACTCTTATGCAATCGTTGGAATAAATTTGACAGAGATGGCTTACAGTCTGTTAACTAAAGGACTTTTAAAGAGCCACTTTTACAACTTGGTTCCTGGTGCTCCTCAGCTGAACGATTTCCATCAGTTTTACTGTGAGTATTTGCAACTGTCCTTTAGAGAGATGGCTGGCTTCTATATTTTTGGAGCAAGCTGTTCCACAATCTGTTTAGAAATTAGTAGTTTTTCTTATTGTATTAAGTACCATTCAGTTTAAATTGTTATAGAAATATTTGGGGGAAAATGTAAGACTTGTTGCAAAGTTTATTCATTCAACAGATTTCTATTTTGCTACAACCAGATGTCTCTCAGCTACCAACCTAGTTTAAAACCCCAAACAAGAAATAATAATAAAGATAAGGAGCAACATTAAAAAATAATAAAAAACCTTGGTATCATATGCAAGCTAAGAGAATGCTCTTAGTGAAATCTTCACCGTTTTCCAAAAACCCAGGAAGGAAGGGGCTAGACTGATCTTTGTCAGGAAACTGTTCCAAACCACTGGTGTAGCCCCAGTACCATGTAGCGTAGGTGCCAGCCCCTTTTGCGCTGAAGGTTGAAGTGAAAATGTAGGTAGCCCAATTGGGGGCAGAATTTCCACTGCTAAGGAAGGCAGATGCTAAGTAAATCCTGGTCAATTTTATAACCTTTTTTTGCCATAGTTGTTAAGTAAATTACTGCAGTTGTTAAGTGAATCCGCTCCCCCATTGTCTTTAATTGTTGAAAGCTGGCTGGAAAGGTCACAAATGGTGATCACATGACCTTGGGACGCTGCAACCACCGTAAGTGCATGCTGGTTGCCAAGCACCCGAATTTTGATAATGTGATGTGTGCTGCCCCACTCACAGGAGACATCACACTATGAGGTGCCGCGATGGATGTAAGTGTGAGCACTGGTTGTAAATCTCTTTCTTCAATACCATTATAACTTTAAATGATTGCTAAACAATTGGTTATAATTGGAGGACTTCCTGTATTAGTTTCACAAAACGAGGAAAATGCTCTTTAAAATTCATGGTGACTAAATTTTGGATGTATCTAAAATAATTTTTCAGTTCTAAGGATTGCATTTAGAGAAGGATATAGAACAGTGATTCTCAACCTTTCTAATGCCACGACCCCATAATACAGTTCCCCATGTTGTGGTGACCCCCAACCACTTATACATCACCGGGTGCCAGGGGCGTGGTCAAAGAAAAGGGGGAAAAATGGCGGACAGCCTTGTTTGGTGACCCCTGTGAAATGGTCATTCGACCCCAAATGGGGTCCCAACCCACAGGTTGAGAACCACTGACATAGAACAATAAATAATACATTTATGCAAAACTATAGTATGCCACATCTATAGCATTGTGTGCAGTACAAGTTACCACATCTAAAAAGTGGTATTATAAAACTGGAAGAAATACTGGAAATATTTAGGAGATCAAATATCTTCCTTTAAAAAAGGTAGGAACTTTTAGGACACTTCAGCTTGGGGAGGAGGGGAAGTAACCAGGAAGAAGATGATCAAGAGTTATAACATGTATGACGTAGTGAGAGTGAACAACTTTATTTCCATTAATTGAATGGATGTAATCCAATGATTTGCCTTATTTTGAAAAGGCAAAATATAGCATTTCTAACCCCACACATAATTAATTTGTGGAATTAATTATCACGAGCTGTGTTGGTAATATTGATAACTTTAAAAAAAATAGATAAATTAATACAAGACAAATCTATCAAGAGCAGTTGATCCTGAGCCTCAGTTCTCTCCAATTTTTTGACAAGCCTTGGCTTGATTCACAAAGCTATTCTTATGTACTTAAGTAACTCGTTTTAATAATGGAAAAATATTTTTTAAAAATTTACTTATCTCTAATATTATATCCTCACAACAAGTGTTTGATTTTTTTGGTCTTCACAGGTTATTTGACGTACGAATTTGACAATTTTTGGTTTGAAGAGAAACCGGAGAGTATTATGTACTTCAACCAGTATAGAGAGAAGTTTCATGACAAAATCAAAAGACTTCTCCTGGATTATGATGTGGTCCTTGCCTTAAAAACTGAAAACTAGAAATGTGTGATTCTTTGAGTTCTGTACATAAATATTATGCACTTGATCGAAACTCTGGTATTCAACCAAAAATTCCATTTATTGCTCAAAGGTTTATACATCCATTATTATTTTTATAGAAAATATGCTTGGACAATCAATACTTATTTAAGACTGAACATTGTATTTGAAAGATAATTTTTTTAATATAAAGATCCTCATTGGATCATAAGACCTCACAATTTTTCTACACTTAGTAGAAGGTGTAAAATAATTGTTGAACTTTATCATGTTGCTCAGCTATAGATTCATATCCAAATTTGATTGATACTTGATTTACAGTAAAAGATGTTATGACAGTTCATTAATGGAAAATTTGTTGTAGATTTTTTATATTGTATATCTTGTTCTTTTCAAATATGGAAGCTTTAGTGCTCTATTATGATTTGGAAAAGAATGTATACATCAATAAGTAGTATGTTACTTGAATGAATGAAAGCTGTCTTTAGTGTCCTTACTTAGTCATATTCACTAACTGTTTTATCTCCTTTTGGATGTGTGTAGATAGAAACTCGTAGATTAATCTTTCATTTCAAAAGAAATGTTATACACTACCATAAAATATAAAACTAAATAAATTTTGCCTCTATTGCCATCAAATATCAATCTCTGTCCTCCCTCCATCTGTTTTTTCATTTAACAACATTTAGGAGTTATATAATATAGAACTTAAAGTATTTAATAGAAGATAATAATTAGTACATTCTTTTTTCAATGTATCACTCATTGAGGACTACATATATAATTCTCAGACAATCTAGGTACTAGAATTGTACTCATGTTGAAAATCTATACAGACTTTTTTCCCCCTAAACTTTGTATTTAGCCTTGTTGACATTTGAGAGATGGACGGAATGATTAAGATTATTAAAGTGCCTTTTATTTAAAGCAGTTGAGTATCATCCCTGGAGCTGGGATTAATTGATTTTTAGATAGCTCCTAGGATGTGCCTCTGTTATAATATTTAATACTGGAATTGGGCATATTTAATCTTGCTGACTAAAAATGTGTGTGCAAATTATATCACCAATCCAGAAAAAGTGAATCAAAATATTTGAAGAATATTTAAAGAAAATACAATTATATATGACAACTTGGGCAAAATTTATTATGAACATTAGATACTATGTAAAATGCATGTTGGACACATTAAAAATGGTCTGCACTGTCCTACTGAGCTCTCATTTTATATATATAATTATGCTTTGTTATAAATCAGGAATTCCTGTTGCAAAACAAAAATTAAGAAACTCATATAGTTGTATGGGAATACTGGAGATATTTGTTCACGGCATATAATTGGATTGAATTCATTATTGACTGAAATGTTTTTTTAATTATAAGAAAGTTTTTCATAATATAAAGATTAGGTTTGTTGTAAAATACATCAAAACATTGGATTCCAAAAGTTCTAAGTCAATTTACCCAAAATTTCAGTTTATATCTTACTGGTATTTTGCACTAGCACCCATGCTAATCTAATTATTTTATTAACCTGCTTTTAATTGGTATCATAATACAGTTGTGGGTTACACATGCTGTCTCTATAAGAGCCTTCACAAGATTATGTACTGGTTATTTAATTAACAGTTGTATGTGTTTATCTTTCTCCAATGGTTAAAAGCGCCAACTTCCTTAGACTAGTAATAGTGAGGGGGGTTCAATACTATTTCTTTAATATTTAAGGAAAAATATCACATTTTCTAGGCTAGATTTTATAAAATACTGAATGCTGAAATAGCTACTGTGATCTCCCAAATACACTTTATTTTTACAGATAGGCATTCAGAATTTGGCTGTCTTGTAGTCACGCTATCAATTCAGGGAAAAAAGAAAAGTTTGTCATTGATCTTTTGTAATATTTGGGCAAATGCAGAAACATTGCTATAGTTAAATATATGAATTGGTTCCCACTTTTGTGTGAAGGGCTGCAACCTGTTACAGATAGTGCTTGATTTACAGCCACAATTGGGATTGTAATTTCCATCGCTAATGGTTTAGTCATTAAATGGGTTGCACCTAATCTTATTACTTTTTTACTGCAGTCATTAAGCAAATCACATGGTCATTAAGCAAATCTAGCTTCTCTCGTTCTCATTGACTATGCTTGTTGGAAACCAGTTGAAAAAGCCACAAATGGCAATTATGTGACTCTGGGACACTGCAACTGTAGTAAATATCTGTCAATTTACATGTCGATTGCTAAGTGCCCAAATCATGATGATATTTGGGTCATAAGTGCAAGGATTGATTGTAAGTCACTTTTTAAAGCACAGTTGTAACTTTGAATGGTCCTTAAACAAATAATTATGAGTTAAGGACTACTATATGTTGCAACGCCATCCTTATAAAATTGAGGCTTTAGAACAGTATTTTCCTCCCTTTGTAAGCATGGGGCATATTTAGAATTTTGACAGCATGTGGTGACTATTTTCAGAAAATGGCTGAATATGGTTTATGAATGTTTAAAGGCAAAACCTCAAACTGAGACATTCATGCTTGGAAACTTTCATATTCACTTCTTAAGATCCTCATATTAATGAATAATCACATACATACATACATACATATATATATATATATATATATATATATATATATATATATATATATATATATATTTGTTTTCTGAGGTTTTCGCGGGTATTTGTATGTAGGTCTTTGGTTGTTCGGGTTTTCTCCCACGTAAAATTGGAAGTGTCTTGGCGACGTTTCGACGAAGTCCCATTCGTCATCTTCAGGCTGGTGCTTTCAGCTTCGTGCCTCGAGCAGCAGTGTGTGGTCTTGGCTGTTTCTTCCTTTTAACTGCCAGTGGAGGTATGAACTGATTGGGTGGGAGCTTGGCTGTGTTCTGATTGGGTGGAGGTGTGTTCTGATTGGTTAGGGGCTTGGCTGTGCTCTGATTGGCTGGGGGGTTGGCTGTGCTCTGATTGGCTGGGGGGTTGGCTGTGCTCTGATTGGCTGGGGGAGTGTTCTGTTTGGTTGTGCTCAGGTTAGTCTGAGTTGCAGAGGGATTCAAGATTTTGGGCTGCCCTGCCATTCCTTGGCTTCGCGTTCGTGGTCGTGCTTCCTCTTCATGGAGGGTGTCAGTTTGCTTCATGTATGGATTGGGGGGGTTTAAAGTGGCTAATGATGCAGCTGTGGTCTGGCTTCTGGTTTGTGGTCGTGCCTCATAGTCAGTGTGGCTTTGGGTTTGTTTTTTGCGTGGATGTTTGGTGGTGACATCCTGTGTGGTTTTTGTGAGTGTGGGTCTGGTATCATTTTTTGTGTTAGGGAGTCGTTTGTCAATAAGGGCGGGTTTCCAAATGGCTGGTAGGCGGGAGGTATCATCTCGCTTGTTCATGCTGTGTGGGCGTTTTTCTATCTCGATGGCTTCTCTGATTATTCTGTTATTAAAATGTTCACTTTTGGCAATGGTTCTGGTATTTTTAAAGTCAATTTCATGTCCTGTGGCTTTAAGGTGTTGGACCAGGGAAGATGTTGGTTCCTCTTTTTTGACTGAGTTCTTATGTTCTTCAATGCGTGCACTTATTCTTCTGTTGGTTTGTCCGATGTATGTGGTGGGACAAGTGGTGCATGGGATTTCGTATACTCCTTGATTTTCTAATTCAATTTTATCTTTGGGGTTTCTAAGGATGGTGGGGAGAAAACCCGAACAACCAAAGACCTACATATATATATATATATATATATATATATATATATATATATATATATATATATGTCTTTAATAATTTTGAATATTGGAATCCCAGGTATGGACATTTAAAGTCAATCAGATAAAAATAAATAGCTCTGGGATGTAAGGTAAAAGGTTTTTTTTATTAATTGCTGAGCTTTCGTTAACAACCTGTTAACATCATCACAGCAAAGGGCTAAATGAGAAGGGGGGGAGTATGTGCATAAATTTACATAACAGTTAAACGATTGCAGTGAGGCATGTGCACATAACGTGCTTAAGAAGCTCTTAAAGGCATAAAGCAGTCAGTCTCAAGGCTATTTTCAAAAGTCGCGCTTGTCAGCTGTTCAGCGCGAGGTTCTTAGGGTTTCGTGCTCAGTCTTGTGCCGGCTGGATTCCTTCCGTGAGGTGCAGCTTGGGGGTTCGTCTCGCTCTATCGCGTGCAGGAGCTGAGGGATTGGATCTGTAGGGAGAGAAAGCAGATGCCCACGTGGGGCTTGTGAATGATTTGCCTGTCCTCGCTCCCCCTTTTTAGGAAGCTGTGAAATCGTCTCTGTTAAGGAAGCCAGTTTCTTGGATTGTATAGTTTCTTTGGTGTAGGGTTACTGTGTGTGTGTGTTTCGTTGGGTACGGTTATTTGGAATGTTTGTGTGTGGTCGTTTGTTATGCTTGTTAGTTGTGGGTGGTTTTGTGGTGTTTGGGAATTGGGCTGTAATATTTTGTTCCATTGAATGTGATAAGTCATATTTCATTGCAGGGGGGGTTTGGTCTTGGTCTTAATATTCTGTTGTTACTTAGGTGTTGTGTGTGTATGTTTTGTTGTGTGTGAGTGTCTTGTGAGGTTGCAGGATTTGTGTTTTGGATGTTTGTGTCCTGGATGTTGTGGTCAGGGGGGTTGTTGTTTCTGTGTGTGAGAATATCAGAACATGATGTGTTGGTTGTGTGAGTTGTCATGCTTGTGTTAGAATTATATTCTTTACTTAGGTTTGATGAAAAGGATTGTGTTGTAGAAAGGATATCTATTGTGTTGATAAGTGGGTGGGGTGGTGTTTTGTGTTATTATTGGTTGGGTTGAAGTGTTTAGGTATTTTATGTTTTTGTAAATGTCTTTCTAGGGTTTGGTAAGGAGGTAGTAGGTCTATGTGTCTATTAATAGAATGACAGTCTGAAAACCAAGTTTCTTTTAAAAGATGGCCTCCTTTGGTGAAATCATGAGCAATAACTTCTGCTCCTTTAAAGTTAAAAGTGTGGCCATGCTCAGCTATATGGGTCCAGTCTTCTTACTGCCAAAATATGCTCATGTATTCTGGTTTTAAGTCTTTTTGATGTTTCTCCAATGTAGTTACATTGGCATGTGTTGCAGTTGATCTTGTATACGATGGAGGACAAATCACTGGTTGGTAATGGTTCTTTGGGTCGCATCAACTGGGAACGTAACGTTTGGTTGGGTTTGTGTGCTATGTTGATATTGTATGGGGCAAGGATCCTGGCGGTTGCTTCTGAGACTCCATTGATGTATGAGATTGTTGCCCAAGTTCTATTAATTGGAGCATTGTAGTTTGAGTGTGGTGTCTTATCTTTGCAGCAACATTTAATGAAACTTGGTGGGTAATTATTTTGTTTGCATATGCTGAGAAGATATGCTTTCTCTTTAGATTTTGCTGTTTCTGTGCTGCAGTCGGTCTTGATTCTTTTGAATAAAGTTCTTAAATAGCTGATTTTATGTGATATAGGGTGATTGCTTTGGTAGTGGAGAATTCTATCAGTGTGAGTGGTTTTGCAATAGACGGTTGATAGGTTGCCATTTGGAAGGCGATGGACCAAGACATCCAGGAAGGGTAAGGTGTTGTCCTCCTCTTCTGCTGTAAATTGGATGTCTGGATGGAATGAATTCAGTTTCTGTAAGAACGTGGTGGTATCACATCGCTTGATGACTGCAAAGGTGTCGTCCACGTACCTAACCCTTTAAAAACTGGGTTGATAATCAGCCATGACAACACGTTCTAGATCCTGCAGTACTGCTTCAGCGATGATGCTTGAAATGAGTGACCCCATGGGTGTGCCTTTCACTTGCTCATAAGTTGTGTCTTTGTAAGTAAAATAAGTTTGAAGGCAGAAACCCAGTAATTGTATGTAGTCCTCTGTGCTAGGAGAATTGGGGTGTTGTATTTTTCCTTTTTGCAGAAGGTTTCTAAAAATAGGGATGGCTAGGTTTGGGGGAATGGATGTGAAGAGGAATACTACATCGAATGAGATCATGATTTCATCGCCACTAACCTTTAATGTACGTAATTTCATCAAAAAATCCTCAGAGTATTTTACCGTGGTTAGGGAGTCGCTGATCAGGTGTTTTGAGTTTTAAGCTTAACCACTTTGCTAGGCCATAGGTGGGTGTACCTCTGAAAGACACGATAGGTCTAAGAGGAACTCCTATCTTGTGGATTTTGGGGAGTCCATATATACGTGCCATGGCCGTGTCTCTGGGTCGGAT